CGAGATAAAACGACTCCTCACGATGCCAAACAATGCTTCGTTCAATCCTGACCAAAAACTATGATTTCTAAAATGTGTCTAAGCGTGAAGCGGGATGGTACCCACACATAGCCCTCGCCGCCGTTCTGAGCAATTTTAGTTCTTGCTCCTAGGCGAGTTGTCGCTCGAATCTTGGTAGATTGAAGGAAGAAGAAGAAGATGAATTTCTTTTTCTTTTTATTTTTTCTCTCTGTCTCTCTCGACTAATGCTTTTAGTGTGTGGTGGAGACTAAGTCTCCTTTCTTTCTTTCTTTCTTTATATACTTGACCAAAAATGGGCCACATGTCATTGTTTGATTGGTCCAATTTTATCCCAACCAATCACATTTCGTGATGTGTCATATTTAATATAATTTTATAAGATTTACTTTAAATTATATTGTGGGTTTCGTGATTAAAATCTGATCGCAGAATTTTAATCGTGTGATACCCAATTGTATTGTAACACTTAAAAATCTGACTGTCTTGAAATTCGATAAAAATTGATAGACTAGCCCAATTTTGCGAGACAAATCAAACAGTGAGATCCATTTCGTCATCTGAGTTTTATAAAATTTTTGGACCCTTGACCCGTGCTTTAACAACTATATCATTTTATCCCTTTTGTTATTTTTAAATTCAAATTTTCCAGGTTTTATAATTTGCACCCTTTTTCGACATCCTCCACCACTCTTTCTCTCTTTCCAATAGCATCCCTCCCCATTTTTCTATCATCACACTCTCTCAGGAGCCCTTTCCACCTCTCTCCACTAGCACCACACATTCTCTCTCTCTCTCCCCCCACCCTTCCGACGGTGGGTTCCTCTTTAACTATCATCCCTAAGTAGATAGCCCTTGATGTTCTTTGTTGAGGACCCTTATCGCCATGATTTCCAACACCTCTACCCTCTTCCAATGAAACCATGATAGCCCCTAAGCACCCACCCTTGAACCCTAGACAGAACCTAGTCCCCTTCCTATCTCTAAAACCCACAACTAACCTCAACCTCCACCACCGAAACCCTTAATCATCTCTAACTAGAACCACCACCGAAAAATTTAGAGCCCTTCTAGAAATACCCCACTCAAAAACACAATTATCATCACCTATAAATTTAATAACCATTAATTAAGGAAGTCCAATTGAATTCATTAATTTCCTAACAAACTAAACTAGGCTTGGAGGATTTATCACCAACCACATTGACTGATGGTTTCAGTTTTGCTTTGAAATAGTGTTCATTAAAATTGGTGGGTAGGTCTAGGTCACTGTTTGAGTGAAAGCATATAAACTTCAATTGATGATGTTAAAACTCAAAAGAGTGAGACAATTGCTTGAACTGAGAAGCTCAAGGCTTAGGAATAGTGGTTTGTGAGTATGAACAGTGTGTGAGAGATAGATGCGTGGCTGGGCCTAGAGGCTCTATAAATGCTATAGGAAATGTAGAACGGAGGCAAGAGCTAGGGAATGAGACAGAACACACAGACTATATTGGTTCATCAAACAAAGAGCTTGGCTAATCCACTCTAATGGAGTCACTTGCTCCTTAGGAGGTTTTTTATTGCTTGGGATAGAAGATAGGAGCTACTAATGCTGAGATTACAATTATTGTGTCTATACATGGGCAATTGCCCTTATATATATCCACACATGGGGTGGTCCTCACGTTATCATCACGTGGTCCCCTGTTTGTTAGGATTTTGTTAGGGGAATATTTGGTTGTTAAAGGCTATATTCCCTAGGTGTGACGTGACATTCTAGACCATGATGAGGTGGCATTGAGACCTATCCTAAGTCTAGATACTTTGTGATCTTTCATGTCTGTGAGAGGTCATTTTGCTTGAGTCGACATCTTGTTCCTTTGGATAGCTCATGGATAAAGGACATCGTTCCGTTTTCCATATAGAGTCGGCCCAAATGCAAGGCAACTTAGGCAGCCTCTTAGGGCCTCGCCTGAGAGGGGCCCATATTATTTTTATGATTAGTTATAAATATATAAGCATTTCTTTGTCTTAGATTTCTCCTTTTATTTACCCACATAATATATCAAAAGCCTTCTCTTTTTAGGGCATACAAGATAACTACAAGTTTAGCACTATTTTTTATATTTTTTTTGTGTCAAACTATTAAATCATGAGCAATTTTGTTGAGATTTAATTTAATGATCTAATGATATGTCAAGTCATAAAAGTCTCGTTTAAGAAGTTCAACATGGTTGCAACTAGAATATTGTTACATTACTAAATTAACAAATTATGTCAGATTTTTAGGTCTCAACAACATCTCTCTCAAGTAATTTATGTGATTTTTATATGCTAACTCACAAACTTAAATACATATTATGAAAATCTTGAGTAGTTTGTAAAATGTGATCAACTTTTTTTATATTCATAAGTTGGATTTATTTGTCTAGCTGAAAATGTAAAGTGGTTTTACAAACAAACACTAATACTTCAATCAAAATATTAAACCGTGAAGAAAGACTAGGCTTTTTCTTTTCCTTTGTTTTTCGGTGCATTAAGCTTTTTTTTTTTCCAAATATGTGTATTGCTTATACAATAATATTGATAATACACATATCAATTGCTCTTGCAAAAAAAAAAAACAAATTAAAACTGTTCCTACTTGTGATGAATTATGTCACAAAAATATTAAGGTCATACTATGTATTCAAAATGTTATAATAATAAAACTCAAGTATGGAAGGTAAATTTAGTAAATTTTACATCTCAAAAAATAAATTTTAATAAAATTTTAGTTGTATTACTTATAAAATAACATTTTCACCTAGGGCTCGGAATAGTACTAGGCCGCCCTGCTTCCTCATGATGTGATATGGATGGCCTAGGCACGTTTACCTAAGCTGAATGTACAACCAGAGGTATGGAGACAGACCTCATTATTGGACCCTTGCTGAAAACAAGATACGAAAATATCCTTTCACTCATTTTAAGTATTATTTTTGGTATCATCATCAATAATGGCTAAAATCTTCAGTCACTCCTCTATTTGTCTCTTCCACTCAGTCTCATTGTGTTTCCATGACTAGATAGTCCGACTAAAATAATCTAATTTGGGGGAGTGTGGTTGAGGGTGGGAGACTGAGAGAGGTAGAGACGGGGGATGTGTTTTTGACTGAGGTGGCAATTGGGGTGGAGCTGTAGTGTACAACTGACATTGGTTGTCTCTCGATTGTTGCAAACTTGAAGACAATGACATGGCCTCGTGGGATTGCTCTACTCTAATACCAACAAAGATTGAACTAGTATAGAATTTAAACTTGTCTATCTTAATGAAGGGCCTCATTATCATTTTATAATTTGTGAGAATAATAAGACGGATGTCACTGTGTTATTATCCATATAGAAGGGGTGGTTCTTTTCATTTGGACAAACCTCAAGGAAGGTGGATGTAATTTACCGTTTTTTTTAAATGGTCCAATTGTTAATTTATGTTCAAATAACTAGCAAATAGGGTTATTCTTTTAATGATGGCCACTGCATATCCTCTTTAGTTAGTTATTTGGGCAGATGTTAGCGAAAGAACCACTTAAAAATAAATTGAAAACCAGAGAGACTAAAATATTATAATTGTTAGTTAAAGCATCGAAAGTGAGGCTGACCACCTACTTTGGGGGACGACATGTGTATTATTCCGTAATATTAATGATATGAGAAAAATATTAACGCATTTAATGATGAGATTTGAGTCGAGGATCCCCTTGTGGCAATAGTCAGCGAATCCAGACCTCTTTCTAGGGAAGAATGAAATTGAGAGAATTAACTAAGTTGCCAAGCATCAACTAGGTGAGCACCTCAATTCTTTCTTTGAATTCTATTAGATTTGTCTCTATATAAGTATACAGAATATGTAGCTAAAAGTTATTTGCACATGCTCCCTCATTTAGTCAATATGCATGTAGCCACACACAGCATGCCAATTGGAAACAGTTTAATAAAGATGATCCTACTGTGATTGCTGTAATATTTAGCAAATTGCATATGAATACGCAAAGAGGAGGGCCAATCTTGTATTGGTTGCTCGAAGAGAGAATAGGCTCCGAGGGATTGGTGAGAATGCTGGACGGCTGGGCGCAAGTCACGTGATGATAACTGCTGCTGATGTTGTCAAGGAAGATGATTGTAGGAGGTTCATCAATGAGACCATAAACTTTTATGGGCGTGGTAAGTCAGAAGTGTCACCTCATTTTTGTTTGAAAAATCGGCATTAGTCATGATACCATGTAGATGGCTTATTTTGTTGTTAAGCCTAATAATTTTTTTCTCGACATGAATATGCATAAAGAATAAGAGACCCAATTTTTAACATTCTCAAAAGGGAAAAAAAAACTCAGTTATGTTCATGTTTGTTATCTAACTTTGTGCTCGTGTCATAGAACAAAATGGAGCAGCAGCAAAAGTTGCATTTCACTTTTGTTCAACATATAGCATGCTCTCCAGTATGACGCCTCATTGTTTACTTGAGAAGAAGACATTTATAATATGTGGTAACATCGTAGACTTGGAATAAGACAGCTCATCATTGTATGGACATATATAATACGCAGCATTAAAATTTAAAAGTCCCTACAGAGTCATATGTATCCTTCAAATCATAGTGATTGTAAAAGAGTGGTCTTCATAATATCTATTTCCGGGACAGAAATCACCTAGCTTGTACAGAAGGGGGCTGAATCCGGACCTTTCTTGCACTTGATCCAACTTGCTTTTGTAACCTGTTTCGTTGATAATTTCATTTGACCAACAAAACTTTTGCAACATAGTTCAGTAGACAATGGTGCTTTGGTCCCAAAAACTTTCTTCTGCAACCACTGTGTAATGTCCTTTGTTCACTTTGGCGCCACTTATTGTCCATAATTGTTATTTTCTTTTGTTCTCTTTTATGCAGTGGATCATCTAGTAAATACAGTCAGTCTGGGACATACTTTCTACTTTGAGGAAGCCAACGATTCATCTGTGTTTCCCATTTTGATGGTAAAGCGGATAAATTTGTTCGAAGTTTAAGCATCCTGAATTGTTTCAATTTTGGTCCTTAAAATAACCTCATTTTGATCAGCAACTTTCAATTTTGACACTTTTTTGTTCTTTAGGTGGTCCAATCCCTAACTTCAGTAAAAATAATGCATGGAGGGGATTATGTATCTTTTTACAATATGCTCGATGGCCAATTCTGTCTATTATTTGAACGAAAGTGAGTGGAAGGACCAACTAAAAAATTAGAAATATAAAAAAAGCAAACAATTGGAAACCATAGGGATTAAACTAGCAGAGTGCAGGGGGATGGACCAAACTAAGACTGATCACATGGATCAGGAACCACTAATGTAATTTACCCTTTATTAGAATGTATGAATTGCCAGCGCTTTATATTAACTGATCGTAAATCCTCTCAGGACATAAACTTTTGGGGAAATGTGTATCCTACATACGTTGCTCTTCCATACCTGCGACAACACCATGGTCGAATCATCGTTAACGCTTCAGTTGATAGCTGGCTACCTTTGCCAAGAATGAGCTTATATTCTGTAAGTATGTGTGCAGTCCTCAAATTTCTACCACTGCTTGACTAGAATCTGGCCCTTCTGTATTCTGTAACATTTGCTGGCAAAAGTTCCATGCTCAGAATGAAGTAATTCTGAGATGTGATTATTTTCTAAATTTCTGAAATTCATTTTGGACTTCAAATTTCTTAAAGTCAGAGGTGAAACATAATTTTTAGTAACAAATTGCTCTCTATCTGATATGGCTAAGACAGCAAATGGTAGCTCACCTCAATTTTCAACTAATGTTGGTACATCAGTGGTGAGAAATTTTTTAATGGATGCGAGTTGTCCTATGTCAAACAGTAAATGCACAGCGCCTTTCCAAAATTACTATCAATACGTATTATGAAAGGTACAATTGTCTTTCTGAATATCAATTAACCAAAAAATGTTGAAACTGATGATACATCAAGAGGAAAAATTGCATTAGTCTGATAGTTCCTTTAGAGTAGCAGTATAAAGTCACTTTTTTGCTATTGCAGTATAAAGTAACTTACAAATTAAGAAAATATTAAATTTCATCAGAATATGATTTTTGGGTTTGTACATAAAATTAAGTTTATATCTTTAGTTATGTTGAGTGTAGGGTGAGCAGTCGAGGCTGCTCTGGATTAAGTTGAGCATGATCCAAGCTTCAAATGGATTCAAGTTTGTGCCCATTTATTGGATTTAGGTCATCCCAGTCCAAAACGGAATTAAGCTGATCCAGAACAATTTTAGCCTTAACAGTAATGATAGAAGTCAAAAGATTTAGGCTGCTAGCAATCAGAACCATACTGTGTTAGAAAAATATCAAAAACTGGGCTGATTAGTTAACTGAACCATATAATTTTAGACAAAATTTGAGGTGGCTGCTTTTGGTTTTAATGTCAAGTGGTCTCACATGGTGGGGTCCAACAGTCTATGATTGAAGCTATTGGGTTTATTGGGATTGCACCCAACTGCACCAAGATATTTGTTGGTGGAATCAACATTCCCAACAACTGGTGTTAAGACTGAGATAATCCTGGACCACCTTTGAACATGTAAAGCTGGTTACGGTAAAGCAGTGGTGGACTGACAAAGTAGCGAAGGTACATGCAACTAAGTGCAAACCTCTCAAGGAAGTCATAAGTGCAGTGACTCATGAGTTCAGAGCTCATCTAAAATTGTTGTGAATATGGTAGCATTTGAAATAAAAAGGGGCACAAAGGCTTGTTGAGAGTAGCAGTTCACATGCAAGGTGGCTTGGAAGCCCACGTGTGTGAAGGTTTGTCCAGTAGTCCCACATTGGAATAATATAGTGTCATAATATACATGAAGTCTCAGACACTTGCACGAGAGGTAAAAGAAAGAAGAAACTGTTATGCCCTAAAATAAAGGATACTTTGGCTGAACTATTGTACGGGCTCCACTAGTTGAATAAACAAGCTGAAAGCATTTGAAGACTCACAGGAGTTTGATCTTTTAAAAGTTGATTTTAGATACAAGGTAATGTGTACGAGGGACTAGAGTATGAACCAGAAATAAAATACCAGAGGAGAGATTTAAAATTTCATCTACTATACATTAGACGCACATTCTTCAAATGGTATCTTGCATTAAATCTGTTTGTCGGGGGGAAAAGTTACAAGTACAATGCCAGAAAAGTATCTTTTTCTAAGAAGATAAGCTCCCTATTAAAGGGGATATGGACGAAACCTTATATATTATTCAAGGGAAAAGGATTCTATTTTTCAGTCCATAAAATGGTTGTACATTGATGGAGGTCAATTTATATGGGAAAAATATCTGATTCTTTATTACATATACTGGTTGTACTGTACATTGATTTAGAGTAGGGATCCTTTTGAACCTCACTTGCATTTTTGTTTTACTTCTATTTCGTTTAGCGCCTCTGTTTCCTAGTTGCTTTGGTCTTATGTAAAACTGATATCCCATCCTCTCTCCTTCATCTTGCTTTTATTTTTCCTTCACTTACTCTTCCCATTCGGTGTCAAATTACAACCTTTTCATTTTTTTTTCTTGTGCTTTTTTGAGCAAGGACAATTTCTTGGCTTTCTTGGTTGTGTTTTTGCATTACCAGGCAGCAAAGGCAGCTCTAATAAATTTTTATGAGACGTTGAGATTTGAATTGAAGGATGATGTTGGAATAACACTTGCAACACATGGTTGGATTGGGACTGATATGACCAGGGGAAAATTCATGCTAGAGGAAGGTGCAGAGATGCAATGGAAAGAAGAAAGAGAAGTAAGTTTTGGTCTTTAGCTCATGCAGTTCTCTTAGAGACATAATATTTTACCGCTGTAAATGTATTTTCCATGCATTAGATGCATGTCTAAGTCTGACTAGTGTTACAAATAAATCGTTTACGGTAACGTGTAACATAAACAATCCCTCACCGTTTCTTTTGTGCATGTGTGTTACCAGTTCCATTTTGAAAACTCCTCATTATCAGTTGTCATTATTCCTCCAACTGGCATTTATGATGGCCCTGAATGTGAAACAAACAATTATTAGGAAGAGTTTGTGAAATCAGTATTGCTATGTGACTGATTTGTGTTGCGGCATTACCAGTATCAGTGTTTTCAAAATCAGGATCTTGTCAAGTAATTTTATAATCATGGTCTAAGTTCCAATTGCGAGTTTGTATTCATGTTATTAGATTTTCTCTTACATATTTTTTGTTTAAGGTTCATGTGCCTGGTGATCCAGTGGAGGAGTTTGCGAGGTTAATCGTTTCTGGGGCATGCCGAGGAGATGCTTACGTGAAGGTCCCGAGCTGGTATAACATATTCCTTCTATATAGGGCGTTTGCACCAAATGTTCTGAATTGGACATTTCGCTTGCTTTTTGCGGATCACCCTGCAAGAAAAACTTCCTTCATTGGCACGGGCAAGCCTCTTCTGGAGTCACCCACTTCTAAGAAACCTATTACGAGTCCCTATACATTCGCCCAAGTCGCTCTTCAACAGCAGCAGAAAATGGAGTAGAGATGTCACGTACCTGGATTTTGCATTTGTTAATGTTAATTTGTTTTCTGTTGGGCTTGTGAACTTTTGTCATAAACCATTGTGAGAGTGCATAGAACAATTCAATAGGTTGCTCAGAAGAACTTTGGCTGTAGTTTCTAAATATGGATCTTTTCAATTAATTGTAAAATGAATTGGAAAAAAAATTAATCGTAAAACCAGTGTGTCATCTCAAGTGCTTCCTGGGTTTTATGTCATTTCACGAGCATAGACAACATTTTAGGAGAAAATTTCAGTGGGTTTAAAAGTTGTCTCACATGGTGGGGTCCAACATGTTGAATTAGTTGATTTTTTCTTTAAAGTACCACTAGGAGAGTGTGCGGGCTTGATCCTGCACGATATATATAAAATATTGAGAACAGATCTCTCCCCTGGTGAACTCTGGGTGAGCCGATTGAGTGGCCAAGCACACTGCTCGAAACAGCTTACGATCCTGGGAAAGGAGGAACGATCCTGTACGTGCGAAAGGTATTCCCTGGGACAAAAGAGAACAAGTTAGAAGGGCGCCGGAGTGTTTTCCGGCGTGTCCCCTCCGACGGTCTAGTCAGTCTTTGAATGAGAGAGAGGAAGGAGAAAACACTGAGAAGGATATTTTGTAGTAGAGAGTTTGTGATTGCATACCCGCTTTGTCTTTTGGGAGGGGTATTTATACCTTAGAAGATCATGATTGCTGTCAGTGTGGTCAGTAGGTAATCATCAGGCACAGGTAGCGTGTGTAATCATTTGATGAGGAATGTCTTCTCTAATTGATTGCTCGGGGTCCCGAACAATCAATGCTGAGTCTGTCTGGACGCCGACGGTACAATATGCTCCTGTCGGGAAGGATGCAATAAATGCTCTGTAATAGGAGCATTTATTGCCTTTCATATCCGAACCTTACCGCATTGAATGTGGTCTCGTCAACAGAAGGGTGCAATTAATTGTTTGCTTTCCCAAGTCGCGTGTCAGCAACGGCACGCGGTTTGTCTGCTTCGGATGTGACATTATTTGCCACGCGTCCATCCCTTATTGGCCGTTACGTCGGTATTCCAGCACGTTCTGACATTACTTGTGTAAGAAGAGGTCATGATGAATAACCCATACTGGCATAGGCTGATGTCCAGTATGTCAGTAGCTTTATCCGGGAGTAGAGGAAGCGTCCAGGATGGAGTGACCCTCGGCGCCGAGGAAAGGCTCACCTCGGGACCAAGGGGTGGTGTGTCCCCGAGGTACACGTCTGACCGAGGACACGTGTTTGTTTGTATAATATACCGAATGTGTGATCCTACATGAAAGGTACCTCGGGGTAAAGGGCGCTCTTCGCCGATGGTGCTTACATCCGGGCAACACTGTTCCAAAATATCCCGAGGACACGTGTCATCATCTTAGGGCTTTTCAGAAGAGTCCCATCAACTGCCCCCCAGCCTTCGATCTTCTGACACCGAGGACACGCGTTGTCAGGAGACGAAGGGTTTTTCCAACTGCCATCCGTCCTTCATTATGGCCTCGAGCAGCTTTCCCCGTCTTGGGATGTCGTGCGCATTAAATGCGCTGTTTTTGGTTCTCCCGCCCAATGATGACAGTTTCCCCCCTATATAAAGGGGGTTCTTCTCCGGTTTCTATCATTTTGCCATTCCGATCTCTGACCCAGAATACGCCTTTTCCGATCTGCTCGCCGGAGTTTTTTGTTTTCCTCAGCCATCGTCGACAGCATCTTCTCTTAAAACCTCAGTCAGTAAAACCCATTGTTGACTCCTGATCCTTCCGGTGCGAGTTATTTTCAAAGTTTTTCCTGAAAAACTCCGTTTTCGACATCTTCTGGTGAGTTTCGCAACCTTCTTCTTTATCGTCCCCCTAGCCTTCTTGTTTTCCGACTGAACAGTGGTGTCATCCGGTCGGTACGTCTCGATTTAAACCCTCGGGGAACTTCCTCGGGTTTTCAACAGAGAACACCTTTTCCTCCCCTTTCTTTTTAGAGATGCCTCGTCGTCGCCCTGTTCCCGAGAATCCATCGGCTGGTCCCTCGGGGTCAGGGAAATACAAGGTGACGGGCGAGGCACAGATCAATAGGTTTAGGGCGAAGTATGGCATCCCTCCGAGCGTGGACGTAGTGGATTTTAACCCTTTGTTGTACTCTCCTACCTTCGGGGCCACGGATGCCATGCCTTTCTATACCAAGGCCATCATAGAGGGTGGCATTAGGTTTCCTTTACCCCCCCTGCTTCTTCAGTTCCTGTCTCGCTTCCGTCTCTTCCCCGGGCAATGCTGCCTCAACGTCTTTCGGATAATTATGGGGGTCCTAGAGCTCAATAGGCGCCTCGGGGTGAATATTGGGCTCAACGACCTCCTTTTCTGTTACTCTCTCCTAAGAGTCATGCCCCACCAACATTTCTACCTCAAAGCCAGGGACCCCTCTATGTACCTTGTAACCCACCTTCCTGACTCGGACAAGGGGTACAAGGACGACATCTTGATCTTCAAGGGATGTTGGGAGAGGGGTGTCGGTCCCGAGTACAATGACCTGTTTTGCCCTCGGGAATGGAGAACGACAAGTACGTCGGTTCCTTTGGGTATTTTTATTCGTTTCTTGGGACTTCTCATGTTTATGACAATCTTTTTTGTTGTGCAGGTATTCCTTCTCGGGAAACAGCTCCACCCCCTCGGTCGCTGGTCAATTTTGGCGACTTAACAACGGTTTGGAGTTTCACGGGTGCCGACGGTTTTGGCCGAGCTGCCCATAATTTGCTGCACTATACCCCGGGTATAAGAAGTTCTCACAGCTCCCTCAACCTTTCGAGCCTTCGCAGTGGTCAGAGCTCTTTGATCAGGCGGCGAGGCTAGAGGTCGAGCAGAACTTGGAGGAAGACCCGGATCGGGCTTCAGAGGGAGAGGTAGAGGGAGTTGCTGAGGAAGTCGGGGTCAGAGAGGACGTTGCTCCTTCGGACGCCGAGGTGGGGACTTCGGGAGGCGACTTGTGGCCCGATTTTCAAATTCTCCAATCTTTGGACGCCGAAGACGCTCTCGAGGAAGCGATGTCCAACGCCCCTCGCATTAATTTGGGGTTTCTTAGGCAGAGGCAATCCCTCGCGGCCGGGAGAGGTCGAGGGACGGCCGGCGGTACTCCGGCAGGAACCAGCTCTGCCCCCTCATCAAGGGTTCCTGATCGGGGTCAGGTGCGAGATCGGGACCCTCAGGTGGAGGAGGAGAGGAGGGTGAAGCATCGGCACGATGGCCTCAGCCGAGGACCCAGGGTGCCTCCCGCTCAGCAGCAAAGCGGGAGGGATCGTGGATTACCCTCTACTCCCTCACAACCGCAGCAACCGCAGCAGCAAACTCGACAACAGCAGCAACTACAGCAGCCCCGACAACAGCAGCAGCAGCAACAACAACAGTCTACTCCTTCCCTCCCATCCACAGTGGAGGCCGCGGTGTGGAATCCTCGGGCTACTGATCACATGAACCGAGTGATCAGGGTCGATGATTCCATTCTGCAGGATCCCCATGTCGCCTATGCAGTGAGTGAGACATTGCATTTTGAGGCTGACATGGAGGCTCATCGGGGGCGATCAACCAACGTGTTGTTCCGCTCCATGATCCAGAAACTCCCTGGTGGTGAGTTTATTCCCGTTTCGATCCCTTCACTCTTGTTTTCTACTTTTGTGTTTTAACATTCTTTCCTTCTTTTACAGGCTGCCCAGCAGATTTCTATCATAGCTGGCCGGTACCACGCGTCCAGGATGGACCTTCAGAGGGCCAAGGATCAGAAGGCTGAAGCGGAAGCTGCCCTTGCTCGGGCAACGGAAGAAGTTGCTGCCAGGGATTCTACCCTGGCGGGGCAGGCTGCCCAAATAGAGCAACTCCTCAAGGACGCTGAATCGGCCAAGTTGGGCGCTGAGAAGCTAAGTGCTGCACTTGCCGATGCTGAGAGGAGAATTACTGAGCAAACGCAGCGGCTCTCGGCTGCGGAGGAGAGGGCAGTGGGCTCCGAGGAAAGCTGCCTGGCCCTTACCCAGGAGCTAGATAGGATCCGAGCCGAGGAGCTGAACCGGAAGTCGGAGCAACAACTTCTGGAGGAGTTCGCCGATGAAGTGCTCCCCGCTCTTGAAGAAAATAGCAAAGAGTTCTTCAAGAAAGGGTGGGACGAGGCGCTCCAGGCTGCTGGAGTCCCGTCAGACTCCCCTCTCTTCCAAGTGCACAAGTATGTGCCCTCGGCAGAGATGGGAG